GGTTATATTTATATAATATTAAAATAATCAGAAGTCGGTGACTCAGAATCGGAAATCACCAAGTGAAACAAAAGAATAACTTTTCATCCCCTTTTTCAAAGGCGCTCGGAAGTTTTATTGCTGTAAATGGGTTTGTAAAAAGTTTAAGAAGCCCTCGTTCAATCTCTTTGTGCTCTAAAGACGTCATTCTCAAGTTAAACCTGAAAGCTTCAAGCTTTTGCTTGATTTTGTTTTATTTTACTTTTCGTGTTTGCTACAGAGCTGCTAGTACGTGATATCGTTGAAGAGGCTTTAATTTAAATGCCGAATTCTTGTTGAAAAATTGCTAAAGTATGCTAGTTCTCATATATTATATATTTTTTATAGAATGAGGGTGACAAAGGAGCATATAGTCCAACATGTAAGTGGTTGCTTGTGCCCAAAGACATCCTAAATCTATACTCGATTAGGAATCAAAATGCAGATGCGGTGTCACCTGTGAGGACTAAGCGAAATGCCTCGTTTTTTGTAAAAACGGTCTCCGATTCTCTACACTCACCATACGAAACACAGCAGCTTTGAGCTGCTATTTTACGCTGGCTTTCTGTGAGAGCGTGGTCCTTCCTCGATCGAGCCGACACATTGCTGCTACAACTTTACTACTAATATAGCTGCAGTTGGGCTCTACCACGTCAAAAACAGCTAAAAACGGATAGACATTATTCCGGATAGGCGATATACGCAACGTTTAAAGATTAGAGGTCGATCACGAGACCATATGTACCGTGTAGGCATATTTTGCAGAACAAAGGCTACAGTTATACGTATATAGTTTGTAGCGAACTTTGTTGGAAACAAAATTCGTCGTCACAATTATAAAAGCGCGACTATTTGGATCTTGCCTTGTCATAATCATTCTTTATACGATCGTTATAACATGAATTAGTGAAATTTTTAAAAAATTTTAGCACGATTTTTTTCACAATTTCGTACTGTCATCTGAATTTGAGCTACATATATCAAAATTTCAAGTTTCTAGTTGATCGGGAAGTTATTTTCTAAAATCAATTACTAAATTCCACAACAAAAGAAAAATCTGTTAAAATTAAAAAAATGTTAATTGTATTATCTATGGTATTTGATTATCTCTAAATAAACATGAAGTCCTTAATTATGTTTCTCAATTATCTGTACTCTATTGTATTAAATTAGAATCGCCCATTTAATACGTGTTGTCGCTAAATTGTGATATTATCTGTCTGATAGTCGATTATATTGTTTGCTTGTTCCGAAACGACTAGCAAATTTAAGTATTTATTACTATTACTATGTAAATGCCAACTACCGTGGTAGCTTAAGGCAAAAAGTATAGAATTAGTACGTGACAATTCCGAATTTTGTTCCAGGTGTCGTCAACTGCACTATAATTTTAACAGAATTTTTAATCATTGGTTTTGGAATTAAATGAAAATAAAGAATTATGAAAATATATTATATAGAAGACTACGCTGCCGAGTGCATATGGGTGCGACATGAATGGATCAGCTCGACCGGGAGGGACCACGCTTGCACAGAGTACCTGCGTAAAATACCTAATAATATTATAACAATATTACAATAATTCTCATTACGGTAGTTAGTAAATTCTAGTAAAACATCTTTAAATCGACGTCACATATGTTCGCCTGCCCCGTTTGTTTTTGACTGCACGGGCGATCTTCAATACTGTTATGATAATATTTCTACCCGCACTATTTATATATTTTTGTAACATAAAATATTTTAGTACTTTTCCTGGCATGCTCGGTCACCATTTACTACCTAACACTCAATATTTCTTTTGTTTTTAATGTATTTCTCATTTAAGTGAATTTTTGTAAATTCTTATGAGAATAAATGTCTTTGATCTCAAAATAGCAAATTAATGTTGCTGTGTTTCGTATGATGAGGTACGAGAACCACAATACTGTTTTTCCTGGTAATGAGGACTAAGATTGAATACCTATTCCGTCTTAGTCCTCAGAAGAGACATCGCATCTGCATTTCGAGGTAGATGGAGATTTCTTGTAGATACGGCCTCCACTTACCTTCAGATGGACTATGTGCTCTTTTGTCGCCCTTATTTCCATAGAAAAGTATCAATATCTCTTTAATAATTATAGTATCTTTCCAATCAAATCTATATAATGTGATAGCTGATATACATTTTTTTTAAATAAAATTGAAATAACAAATGAAAATGCAGTCCATTTAATGGTATTTGTTTAGGTACGGCAGCCTACAGTTGCATTATCACCTCTGAGGACTAAGATTTGCACTCTTGCACCCTCCAGGCCAGAACACATACTGCTCTTTGACGACAGAAGTAGCAGCTTAGTCTTTGGAGAAGACAACGCATCTGTAGCGTTCTTTGTTTGAAGTTGACGGGCTGCCGTAGCCACTTACCATCAGGTGGACTTTAAATTCATTTGTGCCCTTCAGTTTAATTTATAGACTGTACTATTAACGGGGCGTTGATGACGTAATTTCGTTATTGTTGCTTACACAGTCCTGCAAAAGTCCATGGTAAAGCTTAGGATTGCTTCTTAGAAGGGATTTTGCCATAGTTGCCATGCTTGCCAGGCGGGTTGGTAGCCGCAGTTTTCTATTATTTTCAGTTGTTATCAGGAATATGCTACTGCCCATCTTTTGTTTCGGCTCCTCAACCTCTTAAAACACCCACGGGGTGACATGGGGTTTTGGTATCCCTTACGTCGCTACTACACAGCTATATTTCTAACTAATTCAATTATTTAATTTCGTTAATCAGATTGCAATTACTGTTTTTTTCCTAGGTTTTTTTTTCGAAACAACGTGCCGATCTCATCGTACCATATACTAAAACTACTTTTACGGATTTTATCGCGTTTTATTTATATTAATTTTAATACCCGACGTTTCGGGTGCTTTCCAGCACCCATGGTCACGGGGGACTGAGGTGACTGACGTCCCGATGTCAAAGTTAACCCGGAGTACCTTCAGCTTTTTAATTATTATATCTCTATTCAGCTTATTAATTATTATATAATAATTGTCTTTGGTCCGATCTACGCAGAATGAACTAACTGTGTTTTGAAGTCTTGCAGTGGTATGCTTGGGTTTAGCTTTAATTTTATTAATTATAGGATCCCAAGCAGGTGGATCGCAAACTGCAGACTTCCCGCGATCATATTCTAGATGGCCCCAACCATTACATTAGATTTGATATACCACAAATCCTCGCGAAAGAACATCGATTCCTACCAAGGATGATACGTGAGGCTATTGAAATTAAAAAACATCCTAATTTCAATAGAGAAGGAGGTTGGGTACTACCACCTGCTTGGGATCCTATAATTAATAAAATTAAAACTAAACCCAAGCATACCACTGCAAGACTTCAAAACACAGTTAGTTCATTCTGCGTAGATCGGACCAAAGACAATAATTAAAAAGCTGAAGGTACTCCGGGTTAACTTTGACATCGGGACGTCAGTCACCTCAGTCCCCCGTGACCATGGGTGCTGGAAAGCACCCGAAACGTCGGGTATTAAAATTAATATAAATAAAACGCGATAAAATCCGTAAAAGTAGTTTTAATCAATGTATAGTGTTCGCGTAAATATAAGAAATCATTATGTACCATATACTAATTACTGCTAACGCTATTGAACAAAATATGAAAGTGTAATTATGAGTTCTCATTAAATTACTCAATTAAAAAGAAACTTTCACTTATACCATAGTACAAAATTACTATGCGTTTACTTCACACGTGGTAGAGCCACGCTGCAGCTATATTATGGTTGTAGCACGATAGGGTCGGCTCGACCGGGGAAGGAGCACGCTCTCACAGAATACCAGCGTAAAATAGCACCTTAATACTTACTGTGTTTCGTATGGTGAGTGTAGAGAACCGGGAACCCGCTGTACTAGAATAATAGCTTTACGAGGCATTCCATCTTAGTTCTCAAGGGTGACAACGCATCTGAATTTTATTTTTTAATCGAGGTTAAATGTAGATGTCTATGGGCCACAGAATCCACTTACCATCAGGTGGACTGTGTGCTCGTTTGTCGCCCTAATTCTACAAAAAAATACGCTTTCCGTCATTCCGTTTCAATAGCAAATCGGAATAACTTCTCTTGACATTCTTGATTTGAGGTTTGATAAAACCCTTTGCAGATCGACATCCAAAACATTTGCCTGAAACTCTTTCAGCAGAGCCTGTCTATCTTTTTCGTTCTGAACACGCTCCATCAACAAATGGTATACATATTCAATTTCGTTACATACATCGCAATTCGGTGAAGGCTTTTTTCCCATTAAGAAAGCAAACTCTGCTGATGGAATATGACCAGAACGAAGCCATAGGGCTAACTTAGCAAAATGTCTGCTGAGTACTATCGTGTTGTTCGACGAATTATTCGAATTTCTAATATAATCAGTTCACTGCAACGCATCAGGAAAGTAGCAGGCGACCTTCTCCCTGCTTCCGTACTTATTTATCTTGTAGTAGTGCGTTTGCATTAAATAAACCTTGTTTTATTGCATTATCGCAATCGCAGAGGATTTTGCGACGTTATTGCAGTTTTTAAACAATTGGTTCTTAATCTATTTGCAATAGAGTTGTTTTTTGTTTGATTGATGTTTGAAGATAGGAATGAACGACTTCCTTTTATAAATACGTTTTATTTGCAACTGTTTATGTACAGTTGATGTACAAGTTACCGTTGTCGTTATAGCTTAATATAGTCCACTTCTTATCATAGGACTCCCCTATAGAATGCAGGTGGCATATTTGGCATAGTTGCCATGTTGAGCGCTGCAAAGTTGCCGCGACCCACTGCCGCAGCTGTGCGGCGCAGCCACGTCCTTTCGAATAATAAATAGGATTTCGCAGCCCGAGCCGCGACTGACACGTACAGTAGTCAAGAAAGAGAAAGAGTCAGTGTGAACAGTCGTGCGGTTGTGTGTTCGGTCGTATTTTGCGTATCAGAACTATGTCTGATAGCTCAAATACAACGAAACAAGAACTCCTAAAGCGACTTATAGGGGACGAAGAAGAGGATGATGTAATAATGTTGTTCTTACTCTCATCAAATAGTAATAAAATAGATGCATTATATACATCAAGATATGAGGAAGGCAGCTATCAAATCCTAATTAATAAACACTTAAAAGCAAAAGAAAAGAAATTCAGGAAGTACTGTAGACTAAATAAAAAACTGCCGGCAGCGCTGCCACACTGGCTCCGGAGCGGCTCGGCAGCGCTGCCGGCGTCGTGCGCCCACCACGCCCCCGGCCGCGCCGCACCGTCGCGTGCTTCGGAAAGTGTTCCATACAAATCCCTACAAAGCGGCGCGGAAGCGACAGGGTCGCGACCGCCGAGACGCCGCTGCCGGGCCGCGGCCGCCGGAATCCGAATGCTACCTTAAGTATTGCCGATATATCGATATCGGTAGCGGAACTTAATAACTTAAATCTTTAATAATTATTATACATATAAAAACCTAATGTTTTATGCATGAGCTCAAGGGATCTTACCTTAGACAGATGAGAAACTACCTATAACTTTTACTTGGGATTCTATACAGAAATGTCCATAGGCTGTAATATCAATTTATTATAGGAAGGACTAAGAAAACTCCGTTCAAACTACGCTGTAATTAATATAGCAAATCTTAATATATGTAAATTACGTGTCACGTTGTTTGTCCGCGATGGACTTCTAAACTACTTAACCGATTTTAATAAAATTTGCACATTGTGTGCAGTTTGGTCCAACTTGAGAGATAGGATAGTTTTTTTGTCCACAATTTTTTTTTGCGAATTTAAGGATTTTAATAGGACATGAGAAATTATCGTCGAAAAGGGCAGAACAACGTCTGCCTGACAAGCTAGTATTATATATAGCACATCAATGTCGCTCGACATTTATTATTACCGACTTCAATTAGGAGGAGGTATTCAATTCGACTGTGTTTTTTTTAAATTTTTCTTCGTTTGTGTAACTTCTGTGGGTGAACGGATTTTGATGATTCTTTTTTTATCTGAAAGCTGCTGCTTCTCGTATGGCCCCTTATAAATATATATCAAGATATAAATCAAAATATAAATCAAAATATAATTATAAATCAAGATCTGACCAGTAGGGTTTGAGTTATTTAATAACGCGTATTTAATTGACTTCGAATACATTGATTCGGTCGTATTCAAGTCGGTTGTACAAATATTTAATTTTACCATATGTTATGGGGACGTTCACATTCACACTATTCAATGCTTTATAACACAATACTATAGCGTAATCTGAACTTAGCTTTAATGTGTCCATACAAATTAATACTGAGCGATATTTTTTGCTAGATAACATTTGCTTTATTATATGTTTATTATTATTGACTACTAGTGACTCACCTCTGTCTTAATTGAATTTTGAGGTCTTTTCGGTAGTCTGAACTAGAGATATTACAGAGGTTCGATTCCAATTCCGAAAGTTCGGAACTTCCGATTGATTATGCACCTCCGATTCCGATTTCGATTCCGACAATTTTTAATCGGAAGTTATATCGGAGGTCGATCCATAGCGGCGGTGGAGGCCGCTATCAGCCCATATAAACTAGTTTAAACTAGTCGCTCGGGGAACCTTAATGATGTGAAAACGACTTCTGCATTTCATTCTGCAGGATTGTCAGTTAAGGCGAAAGCAGTTTTTTACCGTATATATTTGTAATGAATAACGTCTGTAATGTTATTTTATTAGACGTGCCCTTAACACATACCTATCTCTTCTGCTACACGTCTGATTCCGGTTCCAGTTCCGACAAGCCAAGTTTGAAAACTCTGACTCCGAATTCGGTTCCGATATAACCACTTCCGTAACATCCCTAGTCTGAACTGAGCTTTGGTTCGCTTGTCACTTAATGTCGGACAAAAGAACGTAATATATCTACACTTAAGATGTTTGCAATACAAATGTCATACTTTGTAGAATCCATGTAATACTTTGTAGAACCATGCTGAAGCTACTGGCGACAGCATGTCGTTTTGAAAGAAGATACTCATGTCAGGTTTTATTACCTCTAACTGACATGCACGTCGGTAAAGAGGGGTTCTTTGACAATACCCTTACTTCACGACCAATACAGATAGCCCGGTCAATCTAGACATTCGGTGATACATAAATTTACGAGCTGATAATTGGTAAAATTGTTCGAAATATCGGTCGATAATAACAAAACTTTTACAACTTTTTGAATCGTAACATCTCAGAAACGGTGGCTCGTAGGAAAAAAAGCATTGAAACATTTTTTGTAGATAATTTTATGATCTACAACTTTGGTCGAGTATTTTTATGATAAAATGTACCGTTTGCCGAAAAACGCGAAATACTCATTTATTTACCTTTGACCTTGAATAAAAAAATTCCGTACCCAGAAATAGGGGGGAACTTCAAAATTTTATTTATAATTATATTTTGAACAATTTTACTGATTATCAGTTTGTTGTAACTTTGTGTATCTTCGCTCTTATTTTCTGGTCTAATTTGACCGCACTAAGAGGCAATAAAACCACATACAATATACAATTTTTTTTAAATAAAATTTCTTTTCGTCAAGTTTTCTGAAGTAAAGTTGTTTGTAAAAACGTTTGAATACTTCATTATCATAACGCACTTAACGTTAGCCTTGTTGTTGTATATTATATATTGTCCCTGATCGCCTTTTAAACGGCTGGACCGATTTTAATAAACTTTTTGTGCGTGTTTCACTGGGTCTCTGAATGTTTTAGATTCACGATTGGAGCCGGTATGTGGCACTGCTGTCGAGATCCTGGAATCACCCGCGCGATGCCGGGGCGGGTCGCTGGTTTTAATTAAAAGTTTAAGCATTTATACGTGTTCTATTGTTGTACACAACCCTCTCATTCTAAAAAGTTATAGGTAAGATTTAGGGTAAGAAAAACTCCGCCGCGCTCCCCTAAAACGAGCGGATAGCATTCATATGACACGAGTTGTTTTTTTTAAATTAAAACTTAAAACTAAATTAAGTATATTTAAAAGTAATGTCTCAGCTATGTAAATTTTTCCGATGTTTTTTTTTTTGTATGGTAGCGACGATCGGGGAAGGACCACGCTCTCACAGATTACCAGCGTAAAATAGCAGCTTAATGCTGCTGTGTTTCGTATGGTGATTGTAGTAAACCGGAGACGCTTAATACTGGAAACTATGCATTGTATCTAAGTCCACACAACACACAACGCATCTGCATTTTGAATCGTAATAGATAGATGTAGATGTCAAAGGGCCACCAACAACAACCATTTACCATTAGGTGGACTGTGTACTCGTATGTCAATATCCTATAAAATAATTTTTGGCCTTTACTACTTACTAGAAAGTCAAAAAAGCTACGTGCGAAACTGCGGCAAGGATCTAGTTGAATATTTTTCTCCTAACGGTTTTAACCGTTAATTCTACCTTGTAAAAAATAAAAAATTAAGTCGTAAGGAACCTCATGTCCATCATCATCATGTCCTGTCAGCATCATGTCCTCGCGTTCTTATCATTTGCTGACAGGTTCGATTATATGTACTTGAACCACTGCTCTTCGGTACTTGTGATTGTGATGTTAAATCGTACTTGTCCTGTCTTAGGTTAAGTTTAGTTTACTTTATTTATTTAAGTTGTTTCACTTACAAATAGGTATAAGCTATTTCATTCGTTCCTTGATGGATGAAATAAAATATTTTTATTTATTAAATGATTTCTTTAAAGGTCACCGAGTGAGTCGCTTTGCCTTATATTGTAAAAAATGCGTATAAGTCTTGGACGAGAACAATTTCTATTTCGAATTGATCGCGTTTAGTGCTTGCAAATTTATTCGAATTGTTTTTCAGGTATTATTGGAAATATTTGAGTAATTGATAAACCTCTCACATATATAGAATATAACTTTACTTTTACTTTAATAAAAACAAAGTTTTAAATTGTTTCAGTGGGTCGGTCGTATTAAATTCTAGTTTTTGGAGAATTTTTAAGGCAAGTACTTATTTCCTGTAGTATCACAGCTCGTTCGCAGTATATATAAAGATAAATGAAACAGTAAATTTTAAGTGTATTTAAAAGTAAATGTAATAGTAATTCTATGGAAAAATGAAAGAAAGAAACGTACAGAGCTACGGTAGTTACATGCTTCGGTGGTTTGGACACGTAGAATTGTATGAGAAAACAATAACAAGAGTAAACATAAACGGTTGTGAGAAAAGCGAGCGAGGTGTGTTAGGAATGTGCCAAATTGAAGTCTGTAGTCTCTGCCTACAATTCTAGGTGATGCGTGTCAGAGATATTACACAGCTATAGTACGTTTCTAGGGCAGGCGGAAAAACATACATTGACCTTTGACGATATCATCGGGGTAGGCAATATTTTTTGTTTAGGTTCATTTTTTATCCTTTTATCATTACACACATCATCAGAGTGAAAGGTAAGGGTGTCGAGTGCGAAGTTCTTTACAGGCCTTTTGTCTATTATTATACAATAAAGAAAGAAGTTTATCTTGTACCTAAATTAATTAAAAAGCAAATTAATATTAATTTAAGTTTATTATTTATAAATCATGAGTTATTACAATTTTCATTATTATGTTAATACTAGGTAAGTACTTTAATAAGTAGGTAGGTAGGTAGTTATATAAAACATAACCACTTCTTGGCAGTCAGGTAAAAAGACGTAACGTTATTCTTAAGCAGCCAACCTTGAAGCATGCATAAAACTTCTCATAATAGATTGTCAGAGACACTTGACAGACTATTCATCTGTATCTATTTCAGAATCATTTTATGATGATGAAGACGTAGAAGAGTCCATCACATTGATTATAACCTAAAATATCGGCAGTCTTCTTTTTCATATCCGTTTTGGATGGATATACGTCACCAGACCACGTTTCTTTTACATATTTATAGATGTTTACAATCATAATTTTTTCGGTTTCCGAAATATGCGACACTTTCCGCTTCTTTCGTGGTAACGTAAAGTTTTTATGAGATTTTCATGTGGATGGACTCGATTTCATACTAGTGATAATATACAAAACGTCACAAAACAATAACAAAAACTTTAATACAAAACGTAATAATACAACTAACAAAACAAACTTAATAAAAAATACGGTGGCACTCGGTACTGCCGCCGTAAAGCTATTGCATAGCATTTTTTATCAACTTATGCAATTATAATTATTTATATTATTTATGCAGTTAAGTCTTTGATATTAAATCAAGTTACACTTTTTGAGCGTGTGACCGATAAGAAAACAATTTTTTTTCTTATTGAATAAATGAGAAGTTAATATTGTTTAAAATATTTTTAATATCTTACAATACATGTAGGTTATTCAGGAATTTTTACATTGAGTTAGCAGCTAGTGTACA